CAAAGTGGTGCCTTTTGCTATTTGCAGATTTTTGTCATTTTTATCTTTCTCGGTTTCCATGGCATTCAGACTTAGTCCCAAAAAGGCGTGGTAGGTTTCATTTCCGGAGCACAACTCAAAAACTTTTTAATATCTTTTAGTAAATCTTGGCAGATATGTGAGGCAGATCTTGAAGTGGTGCCTTTTGCTATTTGCAGATGTATGTCTTATTTTTTTTATGATTTCCATGGAAACAATTTGCACTTAGTCTAAAATCAAGCTGGACTTTAAGTAACTGTCAGATGATTTGTTCTGTCAAAGATGTGGGGGCCGGGGGGATATCCATGGTGGGGTATTGATCGGTTTATGATGATGCCTAGCTAACCCCCCTTTTTTGCCGACGGCTACTTTTTTCGGATTCTTGGGTTTCTTTGTTACGGTATAAATCACTTGGGGGTCTCCTCCGCAGGTGTCGAGATTGTTTCAATGTTCGCCTCCGTCATCTTGTATATCATTAGTGAAACATTTATGTTGTATGCTCCCCAGGGAGCTGAGATTGATAATACATTGTGCCGTGTGAGACTGACATCCAATGATCGAAGGAAAAACAAAGCGCCTTTGAGCAGGTGATCTGGATATTGGCGCTATATAGATAAATAAATAAATAAATTGACAATGCTTCGCTGTAATGATCGCTGCGGTGACTGGAGCTAAGAACATACCGTATCGGTGATACAACTCACAACTGAGGGTGTTCAAGGCGTCACTGATAAACGGATCCGCGTCAAAATCTTCGCACAAATAAAGTCGACATTCCGGAGGAATGGGAAGCAGAGACGAAACTATTACAGTGTAAAATTGGGTTATAGATGACCCTATGGTTTCCGTCATTTCAGCACCGAATCGGGCTTCATATCTCACATACAGTTTGTTGATGTCTCCATTGGACATTTTATAAGTTTTCTCGGTGGTGATGTTTTCACCCAAGTATTGTTTCCCCTTCCTACCCACAGCAAGGGACACAAGGCTTTCTCTTTTATCCCCGACGTGGGAGGATACATCTTCACCCTCCTCCTCGGCTATCATTTGGTCGACCATGTTGTCCAACTCCATCTTATACTACATCAATCTGTTTTTATATCTAATTTAATAAAACAGAACAATATGAATGTTAGGTAAAACAACACTAGAATTTCAAACGTTGTCATGTTTTTTATAAAATGGCTATATATTCAATTTGCTAAACAGGTTGCTTGATTTTGCTTGAATTTGTTGCTTAGCTAACACAACGCATAAGCCACAGGTTGGTCTGTTTTCAGCACGAGTTCGGAGTGTTTCGTTTCGGCTAACAATGTTCTCATGCATTCCCGCTCAGGTTTGGTGGGAATCACGCTGTTTCCTCTTAAACATTCCTTGAACAAATTCCTATCCTTGCAGTGAAATAAGACGACCCATCGCGTCTGTTCCCTAAGGTCTTTCAGGACCGAGTTGAATTTTTTGCGCAAGGACCCAAACGCTGTGTTTCATATGACATCCTTAAATAGCTAAACATGATAAAATATCTCTCTTTTTGGTGATCTCTTTATTCGCGCTGCAATCGTCACAGCGTCGATTCTCCCTCGAACTTCTCGTGAAAGGCTCTGTAAACGTACTCCCGGGTCGATTTTATACACCATTGCGTCGTTCATCATCCACCCATCTCTCAGTGTACGTTTTATTGACGCGTATAGTAGGGCAAAGAATCACGATATGATCGAACACATCCCAATAGAACCCTTCCAGCATATCCAATAGAAAAACGGTCTTCCCACACCCTGTCTGACCGCACACAATGGCGCAATGCGGCTCCAGGGGCAGCTCAATATCGAACTTAATAAATGGCTTGCACAAATCTTCCATCTTGTATATTAAGCTGCACATCCATAATCACGTACAAATATAGGTTTGATTTACCGGCGGTTTGAGCCTTCTTGGTGATTTGAATCGTGATCCCTTCGCTTCTGTTGTCGATGTGACGCCCGCTCCCGTGAAGATGATCGTCGTCCACATTGTCTTGGATCGCATGTCCAGCCACAACGCGTACTTGGTCTTAAGGTATTGTCCTAGCGTCACGGATGCGAGACCGAGATCCTTGACGATCGCGTTGATTTCCGGTGGGCACTTGATCTTCGGTAATTTTTTGATTTTGTCCCACTGCTGGTCAGCTCGCATGCCTTGGATAAGAGTTAATTGGGCACGCCCTTGATGGTCACTTCCACTTTTGTAATCTCTGGGTTCCAATATTTTTTGACAAAATATTTCCGCGAAGACCGCTAAGGTTTTACAAACAGTGCAGACTGAGCTGGGTGCCATGGCGAGTGCGATCGATCGAAACGGTGATTTTTCGTTTAATCTTTCAAAATACCCTTCATCGAAGGGGTACGTTTGACGTTCTTCCGATGATGCAGCACGCGATCGTAGAAGATGGCTAATGTTCCCAAATACTGATTGCGAATTTGTCGAGCCAATTCTTGATTCATGACCTTGTCGAACTTCAACGAAATATTGTCGATGGTATAGCTGCTGATGGTATTTGTAACAACAACATGGCCATAATCGTTAAACGTGAGTTCGTATTCCAGCCTATCGCCCAGCGCGGCTTGGTTAAACGGCATGTAACCCTCGAGTAGTTCAAAATTGAATGAAATGTACAAATGGTTCCCGAATGCCTCGGCTATAGCCTTATAGCGGAGAGATCGGCTTGTTCAAAAGTATAACCCCACGCAACCGAGTCGCTGGATGCAGTTCGCTCGCAGTTCTCCAGAGGTCTGTGTAACTGAAAAACACAACACTGTCGGCGATGCTCAGGATCTCGTTCCCGCTAATTTTGATGTCCATTTTTTTTCACGATGGTTCGATTTCTCTTTATTGGAATCCAAAGTGATCTGAAAAGACAGGGAACGATGACGTCGTTCACGCCCAGATTAGGAAAGCGCACCAACAGCATTTGGCTTTCATCGATCGTACTTGGATTACTGGTGATCGTCACGCACTGATGAATGGCTTTGACCACTAGGGGTTCCCTCAATCTTCAGAAAGGGTTTAGTTTTTGTCGACGTATGCCGACGACATCGTTTATATTGAAAGTAACTTTCTATATCTTTACAACGATTTGGTGATAGAACCCTCGATCAACAAGCCAACAATTCATTAACGGGTGAAAGCATAGGCGATACCCTGTTAAAGATGACCGCCGATGATTATTACGATACCCTAAAACGAAAGGAAAATCTCTCTCCCCATTATCGCAATTATTCTTACTTGGAAATCGATGATCTAGAGATGCTTCGACTGAAAGGTGCTCCGGACCTTGATCTCATGCATTCCCCTATGAGAAAACCCCTCGCCTTGTCCACGCTGGCCACTCGCAATGGTGCCCACTTTATCTGCGACAAATTAAATATTGCCGGTTATCAGCAAAATATTTTCACTAAGACCGCTAAGATTTTACAGACAGTGAGGACCGAGCTGAGTGCCACGGTGAGTGCGATCGATTGAAACGATGATTTGAGAGACGTGCCGCAACCGCGCTTAAGAAGTATCAAACGAAATCGACAAAATATTGACCACCTACTGGAACGAACCCTTGCCAGGTGTTGTTCAGGAACTGCGAGGGCTAGACAAGGCCTTACAAACCATTCGTGGATCGCTTGTGGACAATATGGCAAAAATGAAAGAACTCGACGATTCTATCACTTACGAGACAACAAAACTCGAACAAGCGGATGATGATGAGCCGAGCCACTCACTGCGAAAGATTCGAATCAAGTAGCTAAGGCACTGGAACGTATCTACAAATGAAGCCCTTTGATGTGGCCTACCGAATTACAAGTCGATCCCGGGCGCGAGTTCATGGGTTCCGTGTCACAGCTGTTATCTACACACATGGTCGAAGTCAGGAGCCGGATGGTGGGAGCCCACCGCAGCCAAGCCACCATTGAGAGCTTTAACCGCACCTTAGCCGAGCGTTTGTTTGGACACCAGTACGAAAAATACTATCGGGTCAGATCAGCGTGAGGTGTTTGTACCAACCCGGTGAACTCGAGGGAGAGGATCAACGTCGTGCCACGGACCCTGTATGGTCTGTCAAAACTTACCACATCGATCGGGTGGACATCAAAGAAAATGAACTCTCTTTGTATTACTTGAAAGACAGACCAGGTAGGGGATTCGTGCGAGAAGAATTGCTCGTCGTACGCCACGATACGGTATTAATCCCTTATTAAAGATTCGTATATTTATATTTATCATCATGTGCAGATTGATCGAGAAACGGTTGTTCAGGCGCATCGGGGTGGACGTCCATAGACTCAGCGCTACTTCGAGTGATTCGTCGAGGGCAATTCAAGACCCTGTACATAGTTTAGGTCTGGAGGCTACCGAACTGTTACAAGGTCTCATGGATACTTTAGTCGATTATAGCCTTGAGACCAGAGAACACACTGCCCCATACTCGACCTACTCCTTAGCCTACTTCGATGAGTTTATGGCAGACCCCATCTATTGCATTGTCGCTCAATACTACGGCTACGTTTAAAACAAGGACACATCCAATGATGGTACGCCATCAAACACACCAGTTTTTCACCATCGATGGGGCATGCTTCAGACATATATGACACTATAGAACATAACTGCTGCAGGAACCCCATCCTAATACTACTTGTCACAATTATATCCATTCTCAAGTGTACTCTCCGAAAACACATACATTTCCATTTGAAACAAGTAATTGCAGTATTATCCTTGTCAATTCACGGAAAAATGAACCGCAGAATGCAAAATGTCATCAGGGAGCCTATTGGCACCTGTGCAACATGCTGAAAATAAATAATAATCATCATTGCTTATAATGCTAACAATAATACTTATATTACACATGTTACAAAACTGAAGTTTAGTTTTAGTAACACTTCAGTTACAAATTCATGATTATGGAAACGGTGTAACAGAGGTTGGGGTTTTACAAAAATAATACCTACATTTGACTAGCAACTCCACCCTCTGGGTGACCGGTGCCCCGATGTTGTTGGTGGCAGTACAGGAGTAGTTCCCTCTTTGTCTACAGTCTGCTGACTCCAGTCTGTATGTTGCTGTCAGGGAGTTATCTGCCCTTGTCAACTCCTCAGATCCATTTAGTAACCTGATGACTGATTTTGGATTACTGTCAACCTGGCAGGTCAAGGTAGCTTGATCCGATTCGTTAACTGTCACTGAACGACTGAGTGAGTTGACCGTAAACATACTTATATCGACAGGATCTGAAATTAAAACCCAATGGAATATTTACATGAAAAACTTCAATTTTGATACCTATAACTAAACGAAACAGTCATTGTGATAAACAGCTACATAAAGGATCAGAATCCCAGATAGCATTCAGACGTTGGCGAATTCAGACGAATTTTCTGAGAAAAACTGCCAGGATTACTGCAAATTTAGACATGGCTCCATCAGCATTTTTTTCCATTATTATTCAACAACATTTACACTGAACTAAACCTTTTTCATCACAGGTCTCCATCCAAGTAAAGTCATACTGTTAGTCTTTGCTTTCTGCAGAAAAGGTTGAACTTCAAACAAGCCATGGTAGATTTAATTTCATCAAACACATGAAGTTAAGATTCACTGGTCCTTATTACTTTTCAATGAAACATAAAACAAGGTGTGCATAATGACAATGCTCATTCCTAATACATAATATTTACAATCCAAAAAACACACTCTTTAGCAATGACATATGCACTGGCAGAAGCATTATATTTGCTTGAAAAAATAATGGAAAAGTTATAAGCTTTTTAAAAAAATGAGCATTGGGAAGGTGTGTATTTTAATCAACAATATATGTTGCTCTGCACATCATTTATTAGGCAGCATCTGACTGATTATGCATCTAAATCCTATGCTGTGATGGGTCATGCAACAAGGCTGACATGCACTGACAAAAATGAAAAAGGACAACTTTGGTTTTATGAAAGGCATCTTATTTCAGGCATCAATAGGCATCATGCTTCCAAGGGGAATAACTCTCCACTTCTAAAAAACCTGTTATCTGAACAAATGATTGATTAAAAATTTGCATATCAAGGAACACTGAAATAGAAAGTATAAAGTAGGTAAATCATCAGCCACTTACAGTTCAGTCTCTACTGAGATACACATGATGAACCAATATCTGATCCTGATAAGATGTACAGAAAGGTCTTCAGTTAAACTCTCAAGACACATACTCTACTACAGTTGTGGTCACAGGTTTTCTGTATTGATTCTGGACTGGATTCAGGTATAATGTTGCAAGATTGTGCGCAATCTTCCTAACTCAAACCTTTGTTGTCTTCCGATCTGATATGTCAATCAGGGTGTAGGATTTACTCCCATCTTGTGTGATAATTAATAAATATAAGGTTCCACAAAGCTATCATGTGACCCACAGTTCTACTCATTAGTGAATGCAGCATTCCAATGAGTGTATCAAGTGACAAGATTTTCAAATGCATCATAGTCTCCCCCATCTTCAAGGCAGACATACTCAAGATCACACCAATCTCACTGGGCACTAGTTGTCTGCTCTGACTCAGACAACATTACACATTCATCTTGGTGTGTACACAAATGCATTACAATTTAGAGTCTACTCAGGCACTACAGGTACTACTGAATAACGTTGAACTTGAAGAGAGAAGATGATGATCCAAGGATGTCTCAACACGTGTTCACTCAGTGAGTACAGAGGAACATATGATACTTGTATGAAACCACTAGCAGAAGAGTAAGTCAAGGGCGGTAATCAAGCAGGACCAGGTTTTATCTAGGTAAGGATTACCTCCCTTAGTTATTAAAAAATTTATCGCAGGGAATCTGTAACACATCACTAAGTGACGGAGGAAAAGGCTAACACAACCCAGAGGGAATGTTTACGCCTATAATAAAGCTCAGTTTGTTATCTGAGTTCAGTGAGGGGTCAGGCTCTATGGGTACTGGATCCCTAGTCTTCCCTGATAGGTCACACAGCTTTGGGTTCCCCTCTTCTGGGTTAGGAAGGGAGTCTGTTGTATTAGACAGTTATCCCATTAATCTGTGTCAAAACATAATCTAACATAGAACTCAGTAAGTCAGTCTCTTCTTGTTTCCTTTATGCATCCCTGACTCCACTTTATTGACTAAGTTCCGATAGAATTCTCTCCCTCTGTTTACTTGCTTTCCTTTCCCCAATACATGCCCTACACATTTCCTGTTTTGCCTTTATCTGTGTCTCAAATACACACTTTTCAGCCTCATCAAGCACACTATCAACTTCCCTCGTTTCACTCTGTTCATCAGGTTCATTCCATTCTGAAGCAAAAGGTATTGTTGCCCGTCTGTCAGGGAAAATTTCATCCATACACGTTAACATGGCTGAGATAGAAGATATAGGGTATGCATGCAGCTGACATGAGATTCAAGGCCATCGGGCATCAGCTTGGATACTACCATGCTATCACCAATAGGCTTTACTGTAAACACCAAGAAACAGATGCTGTCAAGGATTGAACATTGTCAGTGTATCCCAGGAAGACCACTTAAGTGGAAGTATGTAACCATCTCTAGATTTTGCTGACTTGACTCATGAACATCAAAGGCAAAGTCTGCAGTGGTGTTCGAATCTTTGATCCTGAAAACAGATCAATTGGCAGGACAAAAGTAAGTTCCTGTTTTTTGTTACACAGAGCCGGCTAGATCGACCCCGTTCCCGTCGCCTGAAGCCCTTGGCTTCTCCTCGAGGGGACCGGCCTCCTACGTACGCCAGGGCATGATAACCGCTTTTTCCAGTCAGAGCAGCCCTGGTTTCTGTAGGAAGGGACTTTGGCTCCCGGCTCTTGCCATCGACCACCAAGCCCCTACGTCTGTCTGCCATATTGCCGGGTAATACAGGATCTCCTACGTACGCCAGGGCGTGATAACCGCATTTTCCAGTCAGAGCACCCCTGGTTTCCGTAGGAAGGGACTTTGGCTCCTGGCTCTTGCCGTCGACCACCAAGACCCTACGGCTGTCCGATCAAATTTTTCGTCATTCCTCATCTCCATATCCCGTACACATTATCGATGGCCACCTGGATATCCGATTTAAATCCCGCCAAATGTTCTGAGAACACAGCTATATCCAACTGGGGAGAGGTTTTTGATTTAGATCTAGAACGACGAGACTTCAGTTCAGATTTATAACAGGAAGCACACAGAGAGTGGCGATCAACATCCGCCATGAATTTCTGACATTGTAAACATTTGCTCTGCGCCATACTTGTCAATCAAAAAGGGGCGGGAATACTTCAGATCCTAAACACGTTGGAAATATATATAAGATAAATGCAAAACAGCAATGCGATTGAATATTAAATGGAATGCGATTTGTAACTGACCTATATATGAAGAATTGAAGACTTGATTTGAAATGAAAATTTCACTCGATTCTCTGCACGTCATGCGTGTGGACCATACAGAAAAATTATGAAGGGTTCTAGGAGAACAATTCAGTGACGTCAGGATCAAGGGAGATAACTCAGGGGTAGATTAGGTATACCACTAGGAAAAGCTATGACTTAGTGTTAAATTTCTTTTGATTTTTTGTATGTATTCTGTGAATCCACAGGAATAAGGCTACCATAATCCAGAGGGAATGTTTACATTATAATTATATCAATTTGATGGGATTTGAAGTAGTCACATAATCAGTAAGGTACAATCATAAAACTGCTGGTACTTACAGTGAACAACAAGGGTAAACTGTTTACTGGCACGTCCTATCACATTCTCAGCTTCACACGTATAGTCTCCAGCATGGGCTCGGTTGACCTTGTCCAATGTGACTTGGCCTTGACCTACATCGGTAGTCCCCTTCTTCAGTTGGAGTCCACAAGAAGGATTACAGTCGGCAGTACATCTAATAGATACAGGCCCTGTTCCTTCCACTACTGTGTGGGGGGAGGATGGAGTTATACTGACACTGGTTCCTGGTCCATCTGAAATTAGACACTTACAGTATACCCTACTTGCCATGTTGAATCTACTAATGTGAGGAAGGAGGGGAGTTATACTGACACTGGTTCCTGGTCCATCTGAAATGAGACACTTACAGCTGGGAATATACCCTACTTGCCATGTTCCTTCTACTAATGTGTGGAAGGGGGGAATTATACTGACACTGGTTCCTGGGCCATCTGAAATGAGACACTTACAGCTAGGAATATACCCTACTTGCCATGTTCCTTCTACTAATGTGTGGAAGGGGGGAATTATACTGACACTGGTTCCTGGGCCATCTGAAATAAGACACTTACAGCTAGGAATATACCCCACTTGCCATGTTCCTTCTACTAATGTGTGGAAGGGGGGAATTATACTGACACTGGTTCCTGGTCCATCTGAAATTAGATACTTACAGCAAGGAATATACCCTACTTGCCATGTTCCTTCTACTAATGTGTGGAAGATGGTGCGTAACTTTCCATATTGCTCTGTCAATAATTTCGTTCAGTCCTTCATTAACCATTTTTCTTTTCATTAGTTCGAAAGAAGCACACTTACTACTTAGCTCAAACAGTAGGCAAGGCTCCATTTTCATTACTTAATATAACGTTATTTAGAATTAGAAACTTAATAAAAATATGATAAACATTTAAGGAAATTATGAAGTTAGTTAGGAAGGGTCAATGTACTTGAAAAGTGCATTGACCAGAGTACGGTAACTGGATTCTTATTGATTGGGAAATAACAATTTCCATGGATTAATATAAACAAGAAGACAAAGTCATCAATATCCCCCGCAACGGCAAAATACTCTTCATGATTATGTCTACGAGTTATGATTATGTCAAATATTTAGATATGTATATAGAAAAGTGGAAGGAGAGTATTGAAAGATTTTTAAAGTTCTGCTCCAGGAAGGAGCACTATCACCAATTTCAGTCTCTGTCAAACTTGCTGCCATGGAAATGCCAAAAATACTTTATTCAGAAATCCAAAACTACCAAAAGGCACCAGTACACCAACAGATCTATGTATGTGCCAAGTTTGGTTAAGAAACATTTTACGGTTTTAGAGTTCTGCTCCGGAAAAGTGCACTACCACTAATTTCTGTTTTAGTCAAACTTGTTGCCATGGAAACGACAAAAATATTTTATTCAGAATTCCAAAACTACCAAAAGGCACCAGTACACCACCAGATCTATGTATGTGCCAAGTTTGGTGAAGAAATAGTGAACGGTTTTAGAGTTCTGCTCCAGGAAAGACAAAAGTTGACGGACCGGACGCACGGACGGAGTCCATTTTAATACCCCCCCGCAAAACGCGTTGCGGGGGATAAAAACACGTTAAAGATCAAATGTACTCTAGGGGGGTACAAATACATAAATCACTAATTGGCATCATTATAAATGAAACCCCATCATAAAAAATACTCATTTCGATCTTTAACCAACTTAAATCGATCGTTTTGACAACAGTGCACAATTCTCACCCGCGAAGGAAATTTCAACCAATCAGAGCGTCGCGTCTCTGTGACGTCATGTGAGAATAGATTTGAGTGCCAATGTAGACTTTGTCTCCTGCTTTGCCTAGTTTCCGAGTTACAACTTGTTTTCATAGACAAAATCACTTGGTGTCGCTAGGCCTTACTTGTTCGAGCCAGACGCTAGTGATTAGAGGATTATATGTTTAATTATCCATGTTATACATGATGTGTTTACTCTCATTGCAGATCTCCATCATTTATGATTGACCGTGAAAAACAGTCATCTGTAAAAAGTATTGCCTACTTATTTATGATGGAGATCTTTCACCTCTGCAACTTGGTACATCAGAGATTCTAACCTACAGTTTCAAGACACAAACATGCCAGTCGTTGGATGCCCTATTCCGTCATGCGACTTCGTGACAGAAGACCTTGATTCTGTGGTGGTAGCAGCACTCTTAACAGCCCATGCAACAGTCCATACCACAGGACCTGCCATCTCTGCAAAAGTAGAAAAAGTGAAACGACCAAGCATATCACTGCCGGAACAAGCGAAGATTGGTCATACTTTAAATCCAGATGGAAGGACTATGTCCAGGCGACCAAGGTCACAGGGAAGGACCGCGTTGTACAGCTTCTTGAATGCTGTGACGAGACACTGCGCAGAGATCTCACATGTTCGGCTGGTGGATCCCTCACAGAAAAATCCGAGGAAGATGTCCTGAAGGCCATTAGACTCCTTGCTGTCAGAGAGGAGAACACCATGGTAGCTCGCATTACCCTCCACAGCATGACTCAGGATCGAGATGAAACTGTTCGCTCCTTCGGTGCAAGGCTAAGAGGTCAGGCTGGCGTCTGCAAATTCACCATTGCATGTCCAGGGTGCCATCAGGAGGTGAACTACACAGAGACAATCCTACGCGATGTACTCATCCGTGGACTAAATGACCCTGAAATCCAGTTAGATCTCCTTGGAGACAAGAACCAAGACATGAATCTCGAACAGGTGTTTCAATTTGTGGAAGCCAAGGAATCAGGCGAACGCTCGGCATCTCGACTTCTGGACTCCCAGTCTGTGGAAGCTGTTAGCAGTGGCTACCGAAGAAACAAGGACACAGCTGTTAATTCATCCAAGAAACTGGATACGTCCGAGTCATGCTTCTACTGTGGAAGAAAGGGGCATGGAAAAAGTGCATCCCTGAAAATCAGGAAAAAACACTGTCCTGCCTTCGGTCGCATGTGTTCATCCTGTAACCGCTACAATCACTTTGACAGTGTGCCAGAGCAAAGTGAAACTGAGAGCTGAGAAGCCTCCACGGGCGGTTGAGGAAAATGAAGGTGCGGTCTTTGACATGCTCTGCTCACTCACTGACATCAGCTGGCGCCAAGGAAAGAAGACACTTCACCTTGATCACCACCTATATGATCAGCTGACGGACACATGGACTAAACAAGCCTCCCGGCCCCAGCCCTTCCTCAACCTATCGATGGCTGTCCATGCAGAAGACTATGACAGACTAGGCTTTATATAAGTCCAGCACATTCAACATCTGCGAGCACCAACCTCTCCCCCTCATGGATGGACCTCCCATGAAACTGATGGTCGATCTGGACGCCCAGCCTGTTGCTCACCACACTCCTGTCCCTGTCCCACTTCACTGGCAGAAAGACGTCAAAGCCAGACTAGACCAGGATGTCAGACTAGGTGTGCTGGAGCCAGTGCCAATTGGAGAACCGGTTACATGGTGCCACAGAATGGTCGTCTGTCCAAAGAAGAATGGCAAGCCGCGACGCACTGTTGACTTTCAGGCTCTCAATGCCCATGCCATTAGAGAGACACATCACACACAATCCCCCTTCCACCAAGCCAGATCAGTGCCACAGAATAAGAAGAAATCTGTCTTCGATGCATGGAATGGCTACCACAGTGTCCCCATTCGAGATGAGGACAAACACCTTACCACATTTATCACACTACGGGGCCGATATAGATATCGCACTGCTCCACAAGGATATATAAGCCTCCGGAGATGGATACACAAGACGCTTTGACGAGATTGTGTCTGATGTGCCAAACAAAACCAAGTGTGTGGATGGCGCACTCCTGTGGGCTGATGACATTGAGAAATCCTTCTTCCAGGCATGTAATTGGCTTGACATCTGTGGAAGGAATGGCATTACTTTAAACCCTGAAAAGTTCACTTTTGCACAAGACACCGTGGAGTTTGCAGGCTTTGAGATTACTCGTGCCAGTGTTCGACCTTGCTTGAAGTACCTACAAGCCTTCATGGACTTTCCTACACCAAAGAACATAACGGACATGCGTTCTTGGTTTGGACTTGTCAATCAAGTGTCACACGCATTCAGCATGGCTGAGAGGATGCATTCTTTTCGTCAACTTCTAAAGCCTGGAACACCATTTCGTTGGGATGACAATCTGGACCGCTTGTTTCAAGAATCCAAGACCGTCATTGTCAATGAGATTGAGAAAGGTGTGCACATCTTTGACGCAAACAACAGACTGGTCGAAACACGGAATTGGATTTTGGCTCTTCCAGAAGCACTGTCAATGCCCAAAGACCCTGCCATTTTGCTGTAGAGATGGATGGAAAGTCACCCTGGTGGGAAGTCGTTTCACCCACGCCGTGGAATCCCGCTATGCACCGGTCGAGGGGGAAACACTAACAGTGGTTGATGCCCTTGAGAAAGCAAGGTGAGTGAGTGAGTGAGTGAGTGGGTGAGTTTAGTTTTACGCCGCACTCAGCAATATTCCAGCTATATGGCGGCGGTCTGTAAATAATCAAGTGACAATCCAGTGATCAACAGCATGAATATCGATCTGCGCAATTGGGAACCGATGACATGTGTCAACCAAGTCAGCGAAACTGACCACCCGATCCCGTTAGTCGCCTCTTACGACAAGATAGTCGCCTTTTTATGGCAAGCACATGGGTTGCTGAAGACCTATTCTACCCCGGATCTTCACGGGTCAGAAAGCAAGGTATTTTGTCCTTGGATGCAATGATTTGACCATTGCAGTTGACCACAAACCTCTACTAAAGATCTTTGGGGATCAATCACTTGAATGCATCTCGAATGCTCGACTACGTAACCTGAAGGAAAAGACCCTGCGGTACAAATTCCACATGGTTCACATCCCCGGAGCCAAACACAGAGCTGCCGACGCTGTATCTCGTAACCCAACTGGTAACCCTGAGAGGATAGTTCTAGTGGATGATATTGCAGCCATGGACTGTACTGAACTTTCCCCTTCTCTGGATGTTTGTCATAACATCCTTGCCTCCATCAGATGCAGTGAAGACCCTGACTACAGTGTAGAGGATGCCACTCTCCAGTCTGCTGCATCTGCAATCAGCTCCTTGGAACCCATCACGTGGAACAAGGTGAAAGTTGCCACCACTAGCGATGTATCCATGGCCAAACTTCGTTGATCTTATTGAAACTGGGATGCCAGAATCCCGCCTTGAACTTCCTACCGCGACTACGTGA